ACATCTGCCACCTTGACCCACAACCTAAGTCATTAAACTTTTCAGTTCTCCAGGCAGACTGTGCAGAGTCTGTTCACAAATTCATTGCCCATATGACAAAACGGGCATAATTTTTTGCCTCTGTAATATTCTCTCTGCTTAAGAGCTGTCTTTTATCTCAATTCTATAATGAATCAGAAATCAGAGCCATATACAGATGAAAAACTGACATTTAATTGAAGTGTTTCCATTCCTCAAACAGGCTTCATGTTTGTCACTCTTGGGACTAAACGCCAGGATAGTAAAATATGGAGAAATAGTAGTGTCCACACTGAACAACAGCTTATCTCCATGAATGAGGTGAGACCTCCTGTAAGTCATACAAGGTTTTTAATGGGTTGTGAACTCACACAAAATCAAAGTCTTGTATAAAACATTAAGTGCCACTGTGCCCCTGGTCATCTATGTGTCTGACTGGCTGTACCACATTCCTCCTGGTGTATTTATAGAAAGCTGCAATTCATAAATACCAATTTGTACCGTTATCTTCATACATGCCACGTACTTGTAATATTGAAAACTGGAAATTGTTCTTAGGGCATACATGAAATCAGCACAAGGATGATAAATAAGAATGGCATTATACCTGTTAAACAGAGAGTGTAAGTGTGTAGAACTCTTACTCCTTTCCCGAGATTATTTATTAAATAGTATGTCTTATTTTGCTGTGTCTTGCTCAAGCTCCAATCTTAAAGGAAGACTCTTCATATTGTCATTGCTTAACTCTCACAGGAACCTAGACATGTGCTCACACACATGGGAAAATTAGTGCATTTTTCTGCACTTACATGGTCCAAATATTTAGGCCCAAGAGACAGGGTTTTTTTAAGTTCCTATTCTGTAGCTACTTTAAAATCGAACAGTCTGATCCTGTTTTGTGTGAACATATATCAAGGATTAACTGTATCACACTGGTAAAATCAAGCTAAGTAAGATCAGATTCTGACTTTATCATTTCAAGTAGCCACTGGATAGTTTAGTCTTCCTTCTTAGCCTCACAGTAATCTGCTGAAAAACTGTGGTTAACAGAGATTTTTGTTTACAAGCCACAATTTCTAATAAATGTGTTATTTGCCCTCTGGCCTGACATCAAAGAGTTTCATAATGAGGGTGGCTCCTACTGAATTATATTTCCCCTCAGTTTGTATGGGGAAGTGGGGCACCTACTACACAAAGGCAATTGTTGACTGCGTGCAACTACAAAGGGAAGAGATAGGACGTTTTGTTGCCTTCACATTTTTAAAATGCAGCTCTTAAAAGCATACATGTAAACTTGAAAAAAAGTAATTTGTACTTACTTGCAAGCAACTTACTCGTTAAGAGTTAAAAAGCCAAGGTCCATGTCTCTGCTGAAGGATGGATATAGACCCGACGTGCCCTGGGAGCTCTCAGAGGCAGTCGGCTCGAGTCAGCCCCACGTGTCTTGCTCCTGCTTAAAACTCAGAGAAAAAAAATGTTTACTTAAAAAAAAAGGGGGGGGATGATCAAATGATCACATCCCAAAAAACATTAAGCAGAGTATGATTTTGAGGATTTAATATACTGCCTGCTTTTCACAAATCTTCCTCTTCTTTGAGCCCCATTTTCTTCCTTCTGCAGTCGATTGATGAAAACTTCAGTTGAGTCTTTTCAACCTGAATCTGCTTAACTTCTTTCAACAGTGTTTCACATTTTGAACAAAAGGTTAGGGATACATTTTCTTGGAAAAACTTGTGAACAGTTTTGCCACTCCATTTTTCAATATTTTTTTTTTTCCTCTGGTAGTAGGTTTGAGTTAGTCGTTTTCAAATAATTTAGTGCTAAAGAATACAAGATAAGGCTCTTCCTACTAAAGTTTGAACATCCCTGTATGCATATATTTCTTTCTGACAACCAACATGACATGATCTCTGGATGTTCACTATCACCTTCCATATGCTTTGAATTACAAGTCCTCTAAATCATTTGCTTAATCTAAATTATTATCAACAAGAGTGTCTTTGTTTTTTCTCTAAACAGCAACAGTGCATGAAGGCATGGGGCCTTATAAACATTAATAGGGTCAGCACCATTCAAAGTAGAATAACGGTATATATTTTGTCTCTTTCCAATTGTCCCTGTAACACATGTCTCCTGCATGTCCCCAGGTGTCTGTCACAGCGGGCCATGGGAAAGCAGCCGTGCAGGTCATTCCCACAGGGAGCTGCTGGGGCTCTGCTCTCCACAACCGTAGCAGAGAGAGCCCACGTGGGTAGCTGTGTTTTTCAAGATGTTTGTCTGTGACTGACTGATTAGTCACTAAGTCTACTCCTTAGCTCACCTGGTATGAAAACAAGGCTGTATTGACTTACCATGAGCTGCGGCACAAGCTGATAAGGTGAAGTTCAGAAGCAGGGACAAGGTCTTTGCTCTGCCCCTACCATGGTCAGGTCCTGCTCCAGGACAGTGGTCTCCAGCACTTACCACACCACATATGGTAACTGGCAATGGGAAGGCCTGACTTCACTCCGAGCTGCTGTCCTCCCTGTACCCGACTCTGCCATCACTCTCACCAAACTTAAGGGAAACTTGGTGGTCATGGCTGGCAGAAGTATTAAGCAAAATGCCTCAGTGAAGCCTGGAGAGGCAGGGCAAAGCACTGTTAAGAACAGTCGTACTTACACTAACCTCCTTTATCTCATGTTGGGACAACATCTCTCTGAGATTCTCCACCAGTGTCTCACTGCCCATCCAACCCTCTTTGTTCTCTATATAAACTTAACTGAGCTACTCAGCTGGCAACAGGGCCCACTCATTTTCAGGCTTTCTCTCAGGGTGATGAACGCCTGTGGTGATATCACTAGTTTCACTGCAGATTTCTCTTAGATGTGATGCAAGTTGTAACAATCTGTTTCTGGAGTTGAGTACAAGAAACCTCAGCTTTCCACTTAAAAAGATGCATTGAAGTTGGGGAGAAAGCTTTGAAAAATAACCACAGAGAAAACAGTAGGTTCAGACAAGATACAGAAAAATAGATAACAGGTTTTTATTTTGATCTAAGCAAAGACCAAAGCTCTCAGTGTGTCTCCAGTACAACCCTGGGGATACTGTACCAGAGGTGATGCCCACTTCATTGCCCGGAGTCTGTTCCCAGCAGTAGGGATAGAGTCACCCCTTCTCCAAACCATCAGAGAGATGGAGGGCAGCTCTTGGAGGTGCTCTGAGCCTCAGCCTCGCCAGGGCACTGCTGTGTTGGATGGGACCAAACGCTCAGCACAGCCCTGTGCAGAGCTGCAGCACCCACTGCTTCACGCAGCTCTCACTTCTCCAGATGAACTCAGCATCCTGTTTAGCACTTCATTTTGTGCACAGCCACTTGGTTTTTCACTGAGGAAATAAGCTCTCCCTGTTCAGCGTGACACATACATAAATATGTATACACATACACACACGTGCATGTGCACACACAGACGTCAGTCGTTTAAAGCCCTGTGGGTGTCTTCTTTCACATTTCTACCTCGTGGCTTGAGGAAGCCAGGAAATGGAAAAAACAGTCAAAATGTTAGGGGGAAATAAACAGATAGAAATGCCTTTTTCACAAAAAAGGTGGAGCAGCTCCCAGGCTGACTGGCCCAGACCTGCCAGCTCACTTTGTGCCTTGCTTCTTCCTCCTTCTCTTCTTCCTCCTCCTTCTCTTTGGCTTCTCAGGGGTTTCCATGTCACAAGAGCCAGCCAGGCACTTCGCTGAATCAGACCCACTGCTGCCAAAGACACTTTCTCCCCATAAATTCAGACTTTTTCCAGTGCTTATTACAGCTATTAAATTCATTTATTGTAGTATCACGCCCCTCTCATTAAGATTTTAATCAGGATTTCCATTGGAAAGCCTTATTCTCAAAGAGTTATGAAACTGCTTCTATAAATTTGATTACTGCTGAAATCTAGCACCCAGCTTCTTGGCTCATGGCTATGTTTCTTTCTTGCTTACTTGACCTTTGTTTGCAAAAGCTGATGTAAATTGGCTTGGTAAGTTTGTTTAATTCCAGGGATAAACAGTTCCTGACTTAAGAGGTCTTTTTTTCCGGTGTGCGGAAAGTAATGGAATGAAATTATACTAAGTTACCTGCCTACAACGTTATAGAATTACCTCAATACCATTTTTTTTCCCCCCCTTTTAGATGTTGATATTTTTTACTTAGGAATTCAACTAAAGAATTTAACCATTCACATTGGTTTTAAACACTGAGTATTTTTGGAGTAGTGTACAGTGCTTAATGGTAAGGCAATCACAGGAGGTTAAAGACTTCCAAATACACACCAGCACCTCAGTGCCAACAAACCATATCACTTCAATGAACTGTGCAGTATGTGTTGGCATGATTTATGTAGCAATTTTAAAAGAATCTGTAGTGTTTGTTTATTACCACAGCATGATTGATGGGTTTCTAAGTGCACAGCGACACAATCAGCTGAGCTATTACGGCTGGGAGTTTGATAATTTCTGAGTTACAGCCATTACAGCCTCTCATTTCAGTCAACTGCCAGAAGTCGTTAGGGAACTGGTGACCTCAAGAGAAACCGTGGTGAGACGAGACCCGCTGCTGACAGTGTCACCTTCTCTCCTGCACAGTCACACAGGCTACGGGCACTTCTGCCCAGCCTCCCCGGTTCTCCTGCTCTCCTTCTCAGACCCTCCTTGCTAAAGCCCGGTAAGGAAAACGACCACTTAGCCCAGTGAGTAATTCCTTCAGGTTCTGCACTCATCCTCAGCCCTTACAAATGTTAAAAGACTGGTACCGATGTGACTCAAAACTACAGAGCAAGAAAGGCTGCTCAAGCCTTGTCTTCTAATGGTCACTTGCTTTGCAACAGGCAACTGCAGAGACAAAGCCACCACGCACCCCCAGAAACACACGCCTCACTGGGAGCCACTGGAACAACCTCAGTTCCTTATGTCTAAGTCTCCACTGGCTGTAGCCATTTATTTGCAACACAAAAAAATCAAGTATGAAACAAATAGTATTTATCTTTTATTTCTTTTTTTACAAAAATAAACAATTTGAGAAACAAAAGCACATTTTTTTTCCTGACTGTACAAACTACAAAACAGTATGACATTGGTCACTTTAGCATTTACTTTATTGCTTTCACTGAAAGCAAATTCTCTAGACACACCATGCCTGTAAAATGCATTTTATAGATAATTAAGGCTAGCATTCATTTGCCATTATTAAGGTCATTTACTTCATTCACTCTAAGAATTAGCAAGCGGTGCCTTAGAAAACCAAGGATTTGATGATAAAAAGTACGAGTAACTGCCAGATAGTCATTAAAGTAGTACTGCTCCACCAGCTGGATTGCTTTGCCAGTCTGTCAAAGATGTGGCTTCCTGAACAATTCAAACTCGATTCAACAAAAGTCTTAAGCACAGGCTTAATTGTAAGCATATGCTTAGGCCTATCCCTATTCAGCAAAGCACTCGGCACTTGGGTAAGTCCCTACCCTTTCAGTGGGACTATTCATATGCTTATGTGATTTGCTAGACCTACAAAATGGCTCTTTTAAATTAAAAATGAAACTTCATTATAACATTGGAAGCAAAAAGTATGAAAAGTAGCTACAGTCTTGCAATCCTAAACAGAACCAGTTCCTTCCTTTTGACAAATACGCCAGCACTGCATATGTGATAGCTTTAACACAAATGCTGATTGTCTTCAGAAATGTTTGCTATTCAGCTTACAAACTGAGATGCTTCAGTTACTCTGTTGTGATTGTACGTGCCCAAATAAATATCAGCGCAGAGGATACAGACTTCCCATAGAAATGATCAACGTTCATCCCCGTGCACACAAGCACAGGTCAGAAACATTATGCTAACCTTGGTTAGAAAAGCCAGAGCTGCCAGCTGATTTATAACCAAAATTATACCCTAACAGTGTATCATATCTTGTATTCTGCTTTGTTTTTTTAAAAAATCACATTTTAAAAATGTTGTTTTATTGCACATTCATCCTGGTCATGCAGGTTATTTCTTTAAAGTTCTGTTTAGCACTCTATAGATTAGAATGAGTAATAGTGCAATTATCTCTCCGGCCACAGCCGCCTTATACCTCACAGCTGCCTATATTTATACACAAACAGCTCTTGTCACTCACGCGTCAGACTGAGCCACTTTAGCTGTCAGTCTGTCACCTTCACATATGTTATCTTGTCAGGATCAGGCATGATATGATTTGAGGCCATCTTGAAGAAGACAAGCTGCCGACCTGCAGCAAATAGGAAAAGGCAGAGGTAGGGAAAAAAAATTAATTAGAAATGATGAGCAAAAGGTTGCAAACCTTAAAATATCAATATTTCATATTCTTCTTCAACCTATTTATTCTTCAGACAACCCCAGACTGAAGTCTTTCTTAACTTCACCTGGTATAATGCTGAAAAGCTTTCGTCTAACACGACACTGAATCTCCCCTGCTTTCAGTACGTTTACTCTTATCTAATGAGGGTCAAGATACAGCTGTGCGCAGCTAAGACAGTAAATGAAGCAACAGTCTGAAGATTTTAATACAATTTTCACATGATCTTTAAAAAACTTGTTTAAAGACTCTCCCACTGATAAAAACAAACTGGAACAAGGTTTCTACTCCTCAACAAAAAGCACCAGCAAGCACTAACAGCCTGGGTAGTGTAAGGCACCTGCCACACAGACATCTGAGGTCAGCAGGAGATAAATTTGGTGAGGTTTCACTCAGCAGTATTTGTGGGAGCTGCAGCACAGCTCTTGTACCTCCCCATGCTTACAGACCTGGCATCTTATTCACATCCCTGCCTCCTGATGAGCACCTGCCGTCTCACAGACCTGCACTGTCGGTGCCTTTCCTTGGAGCAGAGGCCACAGAGTGATTCTCCACAGCTATTCAACTTCTGCCTTCCTTCTCTCTGACCTTCAGAAAATCAAATGCTATTTACTCCCTGCCTGCCTCTCTAGGGGGCTCCCATAACACTATTTTCTGAAAAAGCATCACACGGCAAACAGGACGCCTCAACTACTGAGCAGATTTCTGTGCTGCTTATTTCAGGGACTTGAGTGCTTGTGGTGGTTTCACTTGGCTAGCACTTGGGTATGCATCACAAGCAACAAGGTAAAGGGAATGATAAATAAGACTAGAAATATTGCTAATATGTCTCAATTGGTTTTAATATTCTAATCTGAGTTGCTCTAAACTTCCTATGAATTTCCCTGTGCCACAATAATTACTTTTTTAGTATATTAATTAACTTCAATAGTCTGACTATAAATAGTCTCACATGATGACCTAGTAGGCACCAGTTAGCTACAGGAAAGCTTAACATAAATTAGTTCTTTCTAGGCTCCATGGAAGTGTCTGTTCAAATCTCTCAGAAGCACAAGAATTGCAGAAAGCCGTAGCAGCACACTGCCTGTAACACTCCAAAACATAAGAACAGTCTGAAGTTTCTGCTAGCTTGTGATGCTTTCAGAGCTGGGGACCTGCTAGGTGTGTATATAAGCCTGGCTTTGGGGTGTATTCATGTTGCTCAGCTAAGTGCAACTAAAGCACCCAACTGCACACAGGGTGAATTTTGACTTTATGATTAAGACATGTTGCGATCGCAGATGTACAGACAGAAAGCGGAGCCTCAGAGCGTAACTAACCTGCCACACTGAAGTCTGTGGCAGAGCAAGGACTTCTATCAGCTTTCCCAAGGTGTGGCTAGTATCAGCCACCCTTCTCCTCAAAGACAGGAGCAGGGGAGCTGATCTGGCCCCAGCAGAAACTGGCAATCGCAGGCAGGGAAACAGGCCTGCACTCGTGGAGACAACACACAGAAAAACTCACCCTGACTTCAGAGCAGAGGAAGATTATGAAAGGACACAGATTTGGTCCATTGCACCTTATACACACAAACACATCTGTTTTCTTTACCCTTCAAGGGGTGCAGCTTGCCTGGGGTCACACTGCCAGATGAGCAGGCTGGGGCAGCCGTGGGGGCACGCAGTGAAGGGGTGCAGGGCTGGGAGCCAGCCATGGCATTCAGCTCCTTGAACCCCTCAGCCACTCCAAAGCTGCAGCTACCAGAGATTTTTAGCAGTGATTTTTGGTTTGTAACAATTTTGTTTCTCAGATTGCTCCAGAGTTGCCCGAAATAAGCACAAGCCTGGTGCAGAAGCAGCAAGTCAGGGCCAATACTCCACTTGATGTCAATCGACACCGAGTGCCTCCCTGCAGGGGAACTACAGGGGGACAGCCAGGCCCAAGGACCTTTTGGAAAATGTATTTCTCTTTTCAACTAGTGTATTCTGTTGGACTTGAAAATGAGTTGTGGTAGGAAATAGGATTTTCCCCTGGAACTTCTACTTGGTTTTAAACTCTCCCTCCTTGCTGTCCTTTAGCCAAAGCCCTGCTGCTAGAAGCACAGTGTTCCCACCAGGGGTAGGGCATCTCTGACACTAGCTGGGAAGTCCCAGCTAGATGCATGGGAGAACCTGTTTGGTTTTGGGTTAAACTGCAACAACCATATCGATTGGAAAGATTTATTTGAATGCAGGCGTTGGACTATGTCCTGCACATTTAACTGTGGAAACAGGTCATGGACTTTTGCTGTTGTTTCTGCTGCTGTGTTTCAAAATAAAATTTCAGACCTCATGGTTTGGAGACCTATGGTCCATGTGCTGTAGCCCTGTGGTGCCAGCTCCTTTTGAGCCCACCCACAGGTTCCTGCTCACCCAACAGGGTGAGCCAGACCAAGAAAAGCCACACCAAAAATCAAACCACCTCAGCTGAAGCTTCAGAAACTTCTAGCTGCTCCTGGTGGCTCCCACAGCCTGGTGCAGCACTTTCCCCAGACTGTATTAAAACACTTAAAGCAGCCAGAATATGTGACTCAGATGGTGTTTCTGCTCCGCAGCATCCATGACCTACCTGTCCAAGTTGTCTGGTTAGTTAAGACAAAAGCTTTGCACTGGGAGTAGCTGTCACAGATCTCAATGGCTTCATTGACATCAAACACGGAGAGCAGGCAGCCCTTATGATGGTAAGATGGCCAGCATCTGTAGTTCTCATCAGGAATAAAAGCTTCAGGCACCCGTCTGTACTCTGCAAATAACCAGAGCAAAGCAATCGTTTTGAAAGCTCCAGCAAACTGTTTGTTTTTAACAGGCAAGGTTTATTAGAACAGCTTAGGAGTGGGATATATGACGGAAAAGGTGACGGGCTAGACTGTACCAGCCCCAGTTCACTGTCAAACGTGTTTATAACTCTGCACCTTACTTTCCTTTCCTTTCCTCCTTTCTTCTTCTCACCTTTTTTCCAGAAAGCGTCGGTAAATAAACAGTCTGTGCACAAAACCCTTTCCCCTGCCTCCCTGTGTAGGCGAGGCTTTGGTTTTATTAGGAGTTTTACAGGAAGAATGTCCCATTGAATAAACAGCATCCACTTGAATGAACTGACTCACTGTCCTACTTCTTAACAGTGAGCAGGATTGTAGGGGTGAGACCCGACCAGGCGTTCCCAGCCCTCCCTCTCCCTCAGAAGAGCATGCTATTTTCCTCCAGCCCCTTTAGAAAAGGAAGAAAAGACAGGCTTTTAATTAAGCAAACTTTTTTTGCTTGCTCAGATTAGCACAAAAGGGAAGTCTCTTGATGGGCCTCCAAAGAGAAGGAAAAAAAAAAAAAAAGTAGAGGGAGCATGTCAGCGTGGTCCTCGCCCAGCGCCTCTGCGCTGCCCTGCCGATTACTCCTCTCCCTTGGCTGCCGTTCAGTCTCACTTGCCTTTATGAGCTGCCTCTTGTTCTCTGTGCGCAGCTCCTCTCACTTTCCCAGCCACTGACGGGGGTTTCTCTAATGAATGCATCATCAAATTCAACTAATCACTTAGAAACATTTCTATTTAGCGTCCAGACGCACAAATTGATGGTTCCCCCACCGCCTTTCTCGCTCACATCCTATTCAAAAAAATAAATAACATTCTGTATTTCTTCTAATTGTATCTATTATGGAAACCAGAGCTGCCGGCTCTGACTCACAGCCTATTCTTAAGTCACTTTGGTTCAGGCATTTTCTGCCTGACACTGCAGACTCAGCCTGCTAATATTTCAGGCAGCATGTTGTACAAACACCACCGAGTCAGAGGCGAGTGCATCTACTACTCTAAAATGCCAGTATTTCAACTGGAAAAAGAAGTACGCATCCACAAATGCTTGTTCATACCACACAGTCTGAAACAGTGGGAAACAAATGCAGTAAATGCTTTTTTTTTTTTTTTAAGCTTGGCTTATTAAAAGTATCATATGAAACATCCGCAAGCAAGAAGCAAAATCAGAGCTGATCGCATCCCACTTAAATCAAAGGCAAAAAAGTTTTCATTAATTCAGAAAATGTGGACTCATGAATATGAAAAAAACCCAAATTAAAATACAGTTCGACATTACAAATGGTACTTTCTCCATTAAAAACACACGCATTTCTCCTGAAGAAAAGTCAGTGCGTAAATCCAACTGCTAATTAGCTGGATAGGTAAAGTCCCTTTTTTTAAAAAATTTCTGTATCAACTGTACAGTGTGACAATAATTGAATGTAACTGAATAATATTCTCTTATCTCTGTATGGTAACTGCTGAGTATTGATTTGTATCCCACAGCCAAGGTCAGTAAAATGGTGTGTGCAAACGAGATGCAACAAAATCAACTCACCGCTGTCAGCACCATCTATAACTATCTGCATCAGTGCGTGTGCCATGTTGACTGGATATAAAATGTGACTATTCAACAGCTTTTCTTTGTGTGGCTACAGAAGTGCCACCTACCACTGCACTGTGCCAAAGCCCACACCACAGAGGACATTCACAGAACGATGGCTCTTGCTGCAGCAGCAGCAGATGAAGCATCTGTCTGATTCTCCATGTCAGCAGGGAACATGCCCCAGCCCTTCCCAAGCACACTGTCAGAGCCTGCCAGGCTCTGCGCTGGGGCTGGGAGGGAGCTGCAGCATCCCTCGGCACGCCATCAGGGCACTAAGCAGAGCAGGCCCACGCCACGTCACGTATTTTTCTCCATGCAAGGTAGGAGCCCATGTGGAAGACCCTTATTTTGAATTATTGTTCAATTTTTATGCTCTCCTGTGCACAGATATGCCTCTTAACAAGCCTATAGCACTTTCTTTCTTCTCAACACTGTTCCTGTTACAGCTGTCAGGGGCTAGGCTCTTCGCTGAAGTGAACAGATTTCCAAAGAGCAGCAGTGACTTACGTGACTTGAGGCTCTGTCAGAGATAGGAGATAAGTTCTCCCTTTCCATTGACTTTTTCAAGGTGACCAAGCCTGGTAAATCGTTTTGGCAGCTTGGACACATTAATCAACAGAGCTGGGCCAGCAATAACTGCGATGGTGAAGGCAAGGTCCTGGTTCGTGGGTGGCAGAGAGGATGGAAACCTCCACACCGGTACTTAGGGTGGTCTTACTGTGCAGCAGAGCCCCGGGGCTGTCCCTCCTCTCCTTGCTGCTCCTTCCCAGTTCCTACATGAGGGAAGCCACCACCATCTGCAATGACCTCAGGGTGCTGCACTTGTGGGAGCAGGGTCATGTAACAGGTACACAACAGCACGACTCACACACAAAGAGCATTCTCCTTGGCTGGGAGATCACCAAGCGCCAGACAGGTGAAAATGCAGCCACTAAAGTCTAAGTGAAAGCACAGAGGCACACAGGGTCTGCAAAGGCAGCTCCTGGCTGCTCCCCCAAACTGGCACAGATCACTGAATGCCTGCAGTTTTGGGATCTGGATCATAGGCTCCTGCCTATGCTGCCTGCAGGGAGGGGAGCGGGATGCAGCGAGGGAGAAAGGCAGGAAGGCAGCCCCTCTGCCCACTTGTGTGGGCGACAGCAGGGATGGTTGCCCAGGAGCACCTTCCCGCAGAAGCATCCCAATGAGAAGTGGGCAATGAGGAGCAGAGTGGGACACTCAATGGCCCTGCACCCTTGCTCAGGCTCCCAAACCAGCCAGGTGCTCCCATTGCCCCAGGAAGCCAACATGGGATCTCCTCTTAAACCGTGACCGTGAGAAATGATGGGAAGCTCACTGCAACACCAGCCGAGCGCTGGTCTGAAGAAACTGCATTCTTCTCCAAAACCCACTTTATCTCGAGCAGAGCAAGGCAGCTGCCTTCCCCATTTGCACAGTGAAGGCAAATATCCCTGGAATCTCTTGTTTACACAGCGACAAATTAGGGAGCTGACCCCTTAGCCCTTATTTGTACGAGCTGTGAAGAAATGCACTCCTCTGGTGGGAACTAGAAGGGTGCTCCTGAAGGATCCCCCTCTGTCGAGATGTGCCCTAGCAATGGCAGGGGCCTCTTGGTCCTGCTTGCACTCCATTAGCCCCAGCCCACAGGAGAGCTACACCCCTACACCTTTAAATGATCATCCTGGTAACTACACTGCAGTTACCTGCTCAATTTAGCAAAATTCCACTGGTTTAAAGACAGCCCTAGCTCAGATTTTTATCCTGCTAAGACCTGAAACTTGCTTAAATGGAGTCCGTGGAATTTGAAGGCTCACAGCAGTAAATCACATCATAAAAAGGTCAAAGTTCTGGTCAATTTCCAGACTAATGGTGTTTAAAACCAATAAATACTTGCCTAATACTATAAATGCAGCCATAAATTTACACTTTTGCGTACATACACATAGCTTGACACAGAGTACATAAAGTCTATCAAGGTAATGGCAAGGAATAGAACAGAGAAATGCAAGAGGCTCCTATAGTATCACAACAGAAAAAGAACTTTTTTCCCCATCTATCAATTTTCTGAGGACTGAAGCAAATAAATGTAATGCAGCAAGCCTGATCTTGATGTCACTTATGACAGATTTACTCCAGCTTAACATACAGGAGTTGATTTGCTGCTCACAGTTATACAAATAAATCCCACTAGGAAACATTTCTCCTGCCCTGTAAACATTTTGGAACTTTAAAATATCTTACTATGCTGAATCTGGGCAATCCTCAAAAGTTTTGGTTTCCAATATTTTTAATACTTCTGAAATATTTTTACAAGTTTGCTTTAGTCAATCAAAATACACTGTTTCAATCAGGCCAAAACCTTCTCAGAAGTTTCTTACAGCACTAGCCAGCCCCCACAGCAGCCACAGTGATATTCAAACCAAGCACTTTCTTCTGACAGGAAAGAGAGGTATCTTTAAAAGCAACCTGCAGCATCGCTGACCCAGGCAAGAGCTACAAAAGAAAGTCAACGTTTTAAAATCTCCTTCTAAATTTTTTCCATCAAAAATCACCTGCATTGTCCCAAAGCCGACTACATTCTATAAACATACTCATTTTCACTGTACTAGACTGACTCATATAAATAACTCCACAAGTATATAATAAACTATAAACTATGTGAAACCGCCTGTGGTTTCCCCCTTTTAGCTTGTTTGAATCACCCTAAATCTGACTCTAATCAGCCCTAATGACCGTTTATTTCAGCCACAGCATCCAGATTGCATTTTTACTACCAACTACAGCTACTCATTGGAAATTTGCCCAGTTTTCTTTTCTAGTTATCACCTGCCAATACACCACAGGTCAATGACACAGATGCAGTAATGTTCATTCTTGAGAGAGAAATCAAGTTCCTCCTTTTCCTCCCTCCTCTTTTCCTCCACTCTTGAGAGGAACACTGGCAGTCGAATCTGGATTTGCTTTTAATTGCTTTGCTTACAAGTAAACAGAAAGAGCCTGATCTTGCCAATCTCAGCAAAAAGTCGCATTGAGCAGTGTTTTGCTCAACAAACAGTCCCCAGCGATTCCCAGGGAACTTAAGGAGAACAGAAACAGATCCTAAATAGACAATAATACACTTAATGTTTTAGTACGCTTCATTTTATGCTGAAATTTTCCTCATGCTTCAATGCCTCACATTTAAACAAGCTTCTGACAACAAGCCTCGCAAAGCCGTACGACAGTTGTGCTAGGGAAAGCTATTTTTTGGTATGTCTGAAAAAACAACATGCTAGGCGCATCCCGCGTGCCTCTGCTTTCAATCATTTCTGACTAATCCCAACTGTTTGGAAGGACAGACAGGCCTGGCAGGACACGG